CCATCTCCTGGTTTGTTTCCCTCTGTCGCCTCTTACGACACCTGACACCTTAGACCTGACGCAGTAGGGCAGCGAGCAATATAAAAATTAACAGCAAATATGAAGACGTTATCTACAGGAAAGAAAAACACAACCTGCCTTTATGTATTACAACACCACCATCTATCGATGACATTGGTTAACTATTGTACTTTATTTACTAAGGTTAATTCTATTTTTGTTTATATTTATTACGTTATTCTTTCCTATTTTTGTTTACTGCGTTTCAGATACGGTTATATCGTTATGGAAAATTATTTTATATCATTTAATTATGATTTATGATATAAAATTAAAATGCACTCGATGACTCAATGTCGCCATTGAACAAATTTATACTTATAATTCGTACCCATACTTCAGAATTTTAATCATAACTTTTGATATAATGAACCGATTTTAATAAAACAAAGACTAAATTGAACACAAAGATACACTTTAAAATTTCCCGACAGATTATATTTTGATATAAATTGGTACTTTATACGTGATATGTTAACAAACAAACAGACAGACGGACAATTCTAAAAATGGTAGAAATGTATTTATTTACTTATTTTTAGTCCCCCTCCCAATCATTTTTATTACAAAAATATAAAATGTACGGACATCTGCAATTTACATTTTTATTATATATGTATAGAAGATATTTCATTAAAAACAATAAAGTACTTATTTATGAAATATTATGCAAAACACCATTTTTACGTGTCTGTGTCCAAAACAACACTGTTGACCGAAACAAACGTTCCTCGGGCACTTGTGGCCTACGAGTCACTTGTACGGCGACAAGGTCACGTGCTTTTACGACTCCTATTGCCTTGTTATTTAGATTTCTGTGTTTTATACCTACTATTTTTTGTTAATGTAGTGGTCTCTTGCACTCACGCGGCGAAGAAAGTAGACTGAAGTATATAAAGTAAAAGCGATGGGTAGGTAAAGGCGGAAACTTTTCATTTGAAGTAAATACTCTTAATTTAGAGAAGCGTAATTTAGTTACAAAACGAATTCTTTAAAAATTTAGTTGTAGGTATAGTTAAAGTATATAAAATTACATATTGAAATTTATTTTATTATTAGAACAAAGTAATGCATAATTCTTATAAACAACATTTAAAAAAAGAATCGTTCTGAGCACTCTTATTTATGGGTCTGAGTAAACTTAGTGATTATATGGTTCTAAGGGGTTCCTTCTAAATATTACTATACTCTGGCGGGGTCTACAAAGGCGGCATTTGTAAGTCCGAACAGATGTATCGGCGTTTCAGATGTTAATCAAATAAATATTTCTGGGTCAGTGTTGCCATCTGACAAAAATAAAATTTTCTAGATCGATTTCCAAAAATTACCAGATAGAGCTAATTTCGTCTAAGCGAAATGTCATCAAAAATTGATAAATATGGGCTATTTTACTAGAAAAATCATTATACATATTACATAAATCTGTTAGTCAATACATTTATAACCTTAACTGTAAATTAACAATCAAATTTTAAAATGAATAGGTTCAACAATAAAGAATATCTTCCTCTTTGAATACTTTATGCATTAACTCAATAAGTGGTAAATAATAGTTGCAACAAATGTAATATTATTGATTAAATAACAATCAAATTTAAAAATCAGACTAAACACAAAATCTTTAGTAACTTGTATATTACGCTTTTTTAATTACCAACAGCAGTCACCACATCCTTTTTCAATTAGAAAATCTAGTACTGAATTAATATTCCATAACAATCCATAAACACTTACGCCTGTCACACAGAGGGGTCGGCAGAGACTACAGATCTCCGTTTAGTACAATCCTGACACACCTATCTCGCCATCTTTACGATTTATCTACGCATATACGCTCGTCGGTTAAGGGCAGGGGTCGGCAACCTTTTAAGTCGGAAGAGTCAAAAATTACAATTAACAGAATTTCAAAGTTTTTAAAGAGCCACAATTAATTTACTTGACAACCATAAACAGTACTTGCATAAATAAAGTTTTTTGATAAAAAAACTTATCTATTTATTCATAAGAAAAAAATATATTTATTCATCATATAAACTTCTTCCCCTCACTGTAGCAATCTTGAAAACTATTCCATGCGTCGAATATAAGTGCCTTAACTCGCGCCATTTCTTTTAAAACTGTCCATTTTTGTTGCGTTACGTACATACATTTCTGCACCTCCAACTCTTCCAACTTGCTTTTCAACTCTGTAAATTTTCCACTTCACGAAGCTTTATTTTTTAAATCGATCAATTGTATTTCTAGAAATCCAGTATCAACTTCAAAAGGCCCAGTGTGGATTTCGTATGTGTGAGTGCGATGAAAAGCGAGTTCAAGTGGCTGAGAGATAGAAATGGTACCTAATACTCATTAGTCGATTCAGAACGATCTTTAAATGTTTTTTTTTTTAATAAAATAATTAATATTTGCGTATGAAACTAAAGAGCCACAGCTTCACATCCAAAGAACCGCACGTTGCCGAACCCCGGTTAAGGGTGATCCTAATCTGGCCCATTTTCAATATATCGCCATAAAATCTATAAAAAATAAATATATATAAATATATATATAAATATATATATAAATATATATATATGTATATATATATATATATATATATATATATATATATATATATATATATATATATATATAGACCTATAAAAACCGTCGTGAAAGAAAATATAGCTGACGTCAAGCACCGACGCTCCGGGAAGTCTGCAGTGTGTTCAAGATTACCCCCACCGTTACATCGGATTTGATAAACAACAAATCCTCGCAATTGAACACCTTCCTACCAAGGATGATACATGAGGCTATTGCAATTTAAAAACATCCTAATTTCAATAGAGAAGAAGGATGGGTGCTGCCATCTGCTTGGGATCCTATAATTAACAAAATTAAACCCAAACCCAAGCATACCATTGATTAAAACTACTTTAACGGATTTTATCGTGTTTAATTTTAATTTTAATTATTTTTAATTCCCGATGTTTCGGATGCTTTCAAGCACCCATGGTCACGGGGGACTGAGGAGACTGACGTCCCGATGTCATTGTTAAACCCGGAGTACCTTCAGCTTTTTTAATTATTGTTTATGGTCCGATCTGTGCAAAATGAGCGAATGCGGTATCCATCGGGAAAACAACTTTTTTTACACCTAATTGTGGATGTTGTGTTCATGCAAGATTATTTGTAATTGACTCATGTCAATGTCTAAAGTTGCCTGAATTTCGCGGTATATCACATGTCGATCTTTCTCAATCAGCTTACGCACAGCATCAACGTTTTCTTGGGTAACTGCATTTTTGGACGACCTTGACGGGGGATCATCACTGAGCTTGACACGTCCACATTGAAATTTAGCAAACCAGCGATAAACTGTGGTTTTAGATCAACATCCGGTCAACACACTGTTTTTGTGTTAAACCACTTCGAAAGTAATAATAAATCATCGCTCTTGAATTTTCTCGAGTCAATTCCATTTTCTCAACAACTAAACAAGTTTGACAAAACCTTGTGACAAGACCGAGAATCTTTTTTTTAAATAAATAAATGGTATTCGATTTTTAAAACCAAGGAGTTATCAATTAAAAAAGATTTTAATATGACAGGAACAGTGGAAATATTCCATTCCCGATACTTTTAGTGCAGCCTAGTACATCGTAGTTCTGGGGGTGACTATGCATCTGTTTTTTGTATTTAATCACTCACATACCGACAGTGTTTTGGACCAATTAGTCGGACTTATGGTTAAGCCAAAGAGTATAGTACAAGGGGTGATCCAAAAGTAATGATAATCGGTTACTTCAGGTCCGCATAAAAATCCAAAAAAATATTTTTTGCTTGCTTATATACTCACTACGTCAGCCTAAAAAATCATATAAATAGATCACGATTTCCGGGAGATACATTCATTTGAATACGAACTGTCAAAGAGATAACATCAACATGGAGAAAAACGAAATTAGAGCTGTCATCAAGTACCTCTGTTTGAAAAAAATTTCTTCAAAAGACATACACAGTGACTTAATGGAAACATTGGGGGGACGCTGCTCCTCCATATTCTACAGCTGCACGCTGGGCCAAGGGAGTTTAAACTGGGCAGAACATCTACTGAAGATGAACATCGCTAAGGACGCCCATCCACGTCCCTCACTGAAGACAACGTGAAAAAAGTCGAAGATGTTGTGTTGGCAGATCGAAGAGTGACCATCAGGCATGTAGCTGAGGTCACAGGGATCTCATATGGCAGCGTTCAAAGAATCCTTGCGAACGAGTTGCATATGGAAAAGGTCTCTGCATGTTGGGTACCCAGAATGTTAACCGACAAGCAAAAGGAAAATCGAGTTGACATTTCGAGGGTCAATCTCTAAAAGTTCCAAGTAGATCAGTGCATTCCTACCAGTAAAAAGGCTCTACGGCTCGCATCACTCAATATATGAAACACGGCAGCATTATATTGCTATTTGGCACTGGACTTCTTTGTGAGCATGCTCTTTCACGATCCATGCGAAACACTTGAATCATTCATCCTACCACATCAAATCAAATCAATTTTTTTCTTATAAAAAAAACATTAAAAAGATTTAGATTCAGCTATTTGGAATAAATATACCTCTATTATAGCCGTAGCAGCCAAGTGCTAGTAGGGCTAATAGCGGCGTAAAACGCGGGTAATTTAGGTTCGATTTCCAAGTGCTGATTTACCTAGTGCTTGTGGTGCATGAAAACATATAAAACAAATATATTTCAAAGAAAGTGATAAATAACAAGTGTTTTTTTCTACGTTAATAAATTCAAAACAAGGTCACCTGCCATATTAGGGAGGGGTCTAGAGCACCTTTCAACTTAATTCTAATGCGGTCAGCATTAGAATTAAGTTGAAAGCCTCATTTGTTAGGTAACAGAGTGCTATGTTTGCTGCAAGGTAAGTATTTGGAGAAGTTGTTATACCACCCTTACACTTCAGATGTTTCTAATGTAAGTAATAATGTAATATATAATACCTCTGCTACTGTTAGATTTTCAAAGTTGGTGGTAAGGTGTGACAAAGGTGATTGCTCAGAGACACTCGTTGGCAGTGCTGGTAAGGGTGGTGAGCGTTCTCGTGAAAGACGCCGACGAGCTCTCGGTGATCCTGCTCTGCTACCACCTGGAGATGATACTAGTGGTGATTGTGGCGCTCCTACACCAGTTGGATAATTAATGACCTGGAATAGATAATATTTTTTATTCAACTTTTAACTGTGGTATCTTTAATAAAAAAAAACCTTGTTTGAACTTAAAAGCAGTTCCCTAAACACACTAACCAAGGAAATATAGTTGTAAGAAACTCTCGAGTTTTATAACAATCAATGAAATACTTTTATAAACTAAAATTCAACCCAGAGCTATAGAATATGCTTAAAAAAATTAAAATATCACACATGTATGATGTTAATAAAATATAAATGATTCCAAGCATTGTTCACTAATATACATACGGTGGTGTAAGAGAATCCACTCCTCACCTTGACACAACTTGAGTGTTTTTCTGGTTAATTATGAAAATGAGAAAACATAACAATAATTATAACCTTAATTTAAAACAAATCTTAGAATTGTGATTATATTGTAAATGTTCCAAATTAAAGCCATATTTTTATATATGCTACATAATGTCTATATACATAAACAGATTATAATGGGTTGCAATTTGTTGCATTTCATGTACAAATAGTGGCATTTCATTTTTACATCTACAGTAGAACGTCGATTAACCGAACGACCGCTTAACCGAACTGCTACCTCGGTTCTCGGCACCTCATTGGGATGCGACCACCTTCTCGCTTCTCCGCGCAGTGTCCCGTGTTCCGCATCGATAAAATATAAATATGAGATTAACATACGATTGGAGAAAGGCGAATTTTGCAACCAAGTTATCTAAGAAGTACAAAGTGGTTAAGCTGACAATAATGGATATAAAAACCAAAAGATGACCATATCCAATTTTATATCCAGGCATGATTTTACTAATGGATCGACAAGTCGTAAAACTATGAAGTATGCCACGAACACCGATCTCGTTGATGCTGTTGACAAGTGATTTACACAAAAAAATCTCAAGGAGAACCTATTTCTGATGCCGTTCTATGTGAAAAAGCAAAACATTAAATGAAAAACTTGGAAGACCGTCGAACTTTCAAGCAAGCACGTGCTGGTTAAAACGGTTTAAGTCAAGACATGGCATTCGTGAGCTTCAAATAGAAGAAGAAAAACTGTCTTCAGCTGATTTTTTCAAAAACAAATTAAGAGACGTATTGAAACAAGAAAATTATGTTTTAGAAAACGTTTACAATTCTGACAAAACTGGACTCAATTGGAAGGCTTTGCCAAGAAAAACTCGTGAATTAGCGGCACCTGGTCTAAAGTAAATAATCGTATCACTGCTCTAAGCTTGTATTACTACTGCCATAAATTAAATTTATTTTACATAATTATTATAAATACGTTTTCATTAGTATATTGATACATACAATTACACAGTTCGATTATCTGAAAAAACCGGTTTTCTGAACACCTATGTCCCCCAATTAACCCATTAGTGCATAAAGTTATTTTATGGATTTTTTATCATGTTTATTGAAAATTATTATGATTTAGGATGAGCTTGAAGGATCAAATACAAAAAACAATTGAATTTTTGACAGCTTAGATATTAAAGCCTGTCAGATAAATCGAACGCTGTGCATAGCGGACATTACGGTTAAGTTATAATATAAAATAAAACTAACAAAATTGAGAAAAAAAATGTATTCAATAGTAAACAAATTATTTTAAGTTCTAGTAACATGGTATTCCACGTGGCACTTAGAGTTAAGACCTACATTACATTTCGAGCATTGAAATTTGCTTCTTCCTCCACACTGGTTAGCACACCGGCGCTCGGTACTTATGGCGACAAGACAGTAATGTCTGCTATTATACCACATTGAGGACAATGGTTTCACTGGTTTACATCCTTGATGTGATGGTGTCCCGTGTTTACACAGTATACTTCTTGCTATGAAGCGCCTAAATGCAAAACAATGATTCAGTGTCTTTTGTACATCAGTTTTTAGAGCTATATACCAGGCATTGACAACTGAGACATCTACAAAATAAGAAAATATTAGCCACCACCATTTCTTTATACGCATTCGCGTTCGCAAATTAGCTACAACCTGGTCACATTTGTCAACGCCACCCATATTTTTATTATAATTCGATATAAGTGTTGGCTGAGGCACTAATACTTTCGCCTTTATTACGTTGGACCACTGAGCTGCTCTTGCCATTTCAAAATTTTCGTAATTCGTGGTTACTATGACGACACAATTGTCATTCCATCTGCACCGAAAATGTCGTCACCTAGACGAAAAGCGTAATGACCTCTCTCCTCCTTTACGAATTCGACGAAGAAGAAAGGGGCTCGTCATCTTCACTACCAGAACTACTCAATAAACAATCCTGCAATAAAACTGTAATATTTTAACCATTGCCCACAGATATAGAAAGATGACAGCTCGTCGTACCCGTTGTAGTTCACTCCTACTTTGAAATGATCTGCGTCCTAAATGGTTTAGGTTAGGTTTGTGTTATTCGCATGATCTATCACTATCTTCATCAGTAAGACTGTCTTAGATTGGGGGCTCCATATAAATACGATTTTCTACATAATCACTCTCTTCATCACATTCTAAAGTAGATAAAATTTCATACTTTTTCAAACTGCGAAATAATAAAAAAACCACATGCAATGTCCGCTGTGCATAGCGTCCGATAAATCGGACGGCATAAAAATCGCAAGCTTAGCAGTTAATATAACGCCAATCTTGTGAAAAACCACCTATATTTAGTTAGATTTAGTTAGTATGTTAGCTTATCAATACACATATCTATTTTATAATGTTTTAATTTATGAATAAATAATAAAGATAGTCATAAATGCTTACCCTTGCCGTGACACAGTATTCTTACGTACAGCTATTTTAGAAATTAACAATTTAATTTTAGATAACTTCATTGACTCCAAAAAAATAGTGTTTCCATTGTATAAAAAATATTAAACTTCTATTTTAATGGTATTTCAAATATAAATATATTTATTTTGCCTTTCAAATGTTGGATTAATTGAGGTCCGATTTATCGGACACTATGCTCTAATGGGTTAATTCGGATAATCAACACTCTACTGTATTTCAAAAGCCTTAATGAGCTTTAATAATAATCCAGTGCTCCATATTACATCTTTTAAAGAATGTATAAATTGGCACACATAATTTGAAACTTTTACATATCTATATATATATGGAAAACATCACTGACTCACTTAATCATCACAAGATCTCAAAGACTATATGCCTGATTATATTTATTTAATATTTGACTGTATACTCCTTTTTGATGTAGAAACCCACTAGAAAAGGCATTTGGAAAATTCAAACCCTGAGTGGGTGAAATTAAGTGTTACAGCTTGTTATACTCAATGACTTATAAAGATAGATTTGAAAATACAGAGCACTGGTGACAGACACTACTGGATCTGACATATCCCCAGACCCATGACACTCATTCATAATTTAACAGTATGTGCTGTGTGCAGGTGTAGTTGGCATTTTATTATATCCCCTTTATGAAGTGTAGGATTATAGTAAAAATTGTACCTCGATAGGTTGGTTGAGTGGTGAAACAATAATGTTAGCAGGCCATGTATGTTGTCCTATAAATTCTCCCATGTTGTATTGTGGCAGTGGTAATCCAGGAGGTGGGTGAGACACTTCCCCAAGCATTGGTACTACACCACCAGCTCCACTTAATACTGGAGGGGAGCTGAGGTCGGCAACAGTATCTGTACTTGTAGGCTGAAATAATACAACAGTTTTTATGTCAATATAGCTATACTATACTATATTACATAACTCCAAACCTCCCGACGAATAGGCTTATTCACTTATACGATATGGCAAAAAAAAATAAAAAGAGCTAAATGGTCAAACGCTCAACACGAAGAAACTACAAAATAAAGGCACAAAATCCAAAAGGTTAAAAGTTGCATTTTATTATGATTTCATTTTGTCTTTCATGCTAACTTGAGCATAAATTTAATGTTTATAATAAAACAATCTGAGTGTTTCAGTGCAACGAAATGTCCTCTACGCTGCCCTAATGCACTTGCGAACTTCACGTCTTCGAAACATTTTTTTCTTATTTCTCAGACATGCAGGTTTCCTTACAATGTTTTTTTTAACCCCCGAGCATGTGTTAAAACCTCTCTCAGAAATGAGAGGAGGCCTATGCCTAGCAGTTTGGAGGGTTTTAGAGTGTAGGCTTAAGTAAAAAATACATAATACTGAAACATAGAAATACTGGAAATTAAAAGGAATCATGAAGAGTAACTCAATATATATATATAGCAATAAAAATGTCTTTAACACCTGGATAATATCTTAATTGACTTATGAGTGCTAAGTATAGTCTTTTGTAAACAACATAAAAATTCAGCCGAAAGTATACCAACAAGGAATTAATAGGTGCCGGGTTGATGGAGTCTTAATCAGAATAAAGAGTCTTTCCTAACAAACAAAAAAAGATATCATGTTTGAAAAAACCAGTAGAGATAGGAGAGCCACATAATAAAATTGATTGGAAATAAATGGGAGAAGGATGTCACCAAGTGGTTCTCCAGAGAATGAATACTTCTAAAGATAAACCAATGAGATCTACAAAAAATAACTTGTGATGGGCTGTAGTATTACTACAGTATGTGAGGGTGACATGGTCATCCGGTATTAAAAAGGTGGCCTATATTAATGGTCACTTTTTTAAAAATCAAAAACTACAGCTTTGTTTGCATAGATGGCTATCTGATATGATAGCTCTTCATCGCTCACTTAAATAATAAAGCGTCAAAAGGGTGATGCTTTATCAAGTTGACATTATAATAAATATTTTAATTTGAAATTGAAAAGAGCGCCTAAAACTTTAAACTAATGGAAATTATAAGAGGCCTACATTAAGGGACAGCTCGACATGGTATGGTATCAAAAATTTTAATTGATTAAAAATTTACTTATATGATACATTTTTTTTTTTGGAAAATATTACTCCACATACATATATAGTCAAGATTCCTACAGAACAGACCATACGCAAAATGAAAATTTGCAACTTAACAACATTAAAATACTTTATAATTATGAGTACCTAGTGACTTTTTGTGTATGGATATAGAATTAGCATTGGGTAAAATTTATTTCGTCTGACTTTTTAACCAAAAGTGGGACCTTTAAAAAAAGGCATGCTTGGCCTAAGTCAATCGAAGGTTTGATCCAAGCTAAAGTTTTCATTAAACTGTCAAAAGGAATTTTTATCAGAGACATTACAGTATTATACTTTATATTGACGTTTTAATTTTTCTTAGCATAAGAAACCTTTGACTTTGGTTGAAGGTAACAGGTAAGCGACAAGTGACTAACATAATACTATTACTAATAATTAAAGTAAAAAGCTACAATAACTGATAATTTTTAACAGTCTTATCTCTACAAAACTCACTACCACTGTCTTCAATTCCATAAAAGTTTAATTTTTTTTACTATGTGCTAGCAGTAATATATTGCCATATTGTTCTGGAATGACAGGAGCCCATGGCCACTAACAATAGCAAAAGCTTGTTGCCTATAACTACCATGATCTGTATGCTTATCACACTTACAGATAATTAAATATCTATAAAATTATTTGTACAAATTAATATACCTATAAATAAAGCCTGTGGTGGTCAACCTGCCTGCTGAGTGTGGTGACTAAAGTTATAGCCATTTTCTAATTAGATTTTAAGCAGCTGACAATTGTCTTTAAGGTATTTCTGTTTATTTTAGTAAATAAAGAAACAAAATAATTTAGTTAAATAAAAATTTAATAATTAATGTAAGGTAGCTTTTCTTATTTATTTATGTGGCCATGCTTATTGACATTGTAGCATTTTCTACCTTAAAATAAACAACGTAATAATATGATGCTATCCCAAACACATACAGAAATACACAGTATTAGTAAAAAGTGTCAGATAGTAATTGCTTTAAAGTGATGTTGAAGAATCATAAATAAGTAATAAAACTTTTTTTAGATATATCTGACCCATAATCTGCACTGTTGATCAATCAATGAATAATAACTAATAATGACATAATATGTATCTGCTAACATATATTTACTTAGTTACATGAAGGTAAATATGAAAATATTATAACAATGGCACTTACCTGTACCCCGGGTGTTTTAACAAACATGATACCAGGCGGTGGCCCCAAGCTAGACAAATTAGGTGGTGGAACTGACATATTAGGTGTGATACTTGATTGATTATGGCATCCACTCACAGGTGGTACGTTAATATGATCTTGCTGTTCTTGGTAGTGTATCCGTTGATTTTCAAGCTTCAACTTATCTAATATTTCACCAAAATGTGATTTCTGGTCGAAAGTAAAGGCAGGATGATGTAATGCCATGGTATACAATAATAAAATCTCTTCCAAAAGATCGCCATACAAACCCTTTATTAAGCCACTTTGCTCTAAACTGACCATAGCATTATACAATGTAGTGGCACAAGCAAAATTACAGGAACGTAACAATGAAACATATAAGGCCATTTTTCGCCGTGTTCTTGGATCTGTGTTAGCGCCGCCGATGTCCGCAGCTAGATCTGTAGGATTGTTGGCTCTAAGTTCGGCACCACGCAACTCCTGAAAGTCCCGCTTACCGAGCTCTTCTAAATACGTGCCAATAAAGCGTAGTTCGAATGGTAAGCACATGTTTAACAATGTACACATTGCGTCTATGCGTTTATAGCTTTCTAATTCTTTAAACCATGATACCACGTCCTCTTTGCAAACCATTTCCAGAACACATTGAAATTTTATGAAAAGAATCAACCGGTCGCCTGCAGTCGCAGCACTTCCTTAGCTTATATTTGTGGGCACACACCTTTGTGGTGATAATTTGATGTTATTACTCTAAATCTTTTCGACTGTAACATTAGTAATAAGACTTTTTAAAGGTTTTTATCAGTATTCCCTAAGTAGTATACCTATTGGTTAAGCAACTACGAGCAATGCTAGTAGTTTTGTCTTTGCTTTGCCTTGTCTATACTATTAGTATACAGATTAATGTTCTTTTTTTTTAATTAAAATTTTTGCCTTGGATGCTTGTTTTTTAAGCCATATCTTCATTTCATTCGACATCTTCGTTTTTATAGATTTTCTATTAGGAATTTAATGTATTTTGAAATAGACAGAAAGTATTAAATTCCATATTTTTCAAAAAACACGGTAAAGTAGTGAATATGACAGTGAAAGTGAATCCATCGCATATAATGCGATGGGTTCACTTTCACAGTCATATTATATATACCAAGCATACATGGTTTGGGATTTAATTTTATTAAATATAGGATCTCAAGCAGATGGCAGCACCCAGCCATCTTCTCTATTAAAATTGAGGATTTTTTTTGATTTCAATAGCCTCGCGAATCGCCCTTGGAAGGAATCGGTGTTCTTTAACGATCATTTGTGGTCTATCAAGTCTGATATAGTAACGAGGGCGATCTTGTTCATGTTCACAGACTGCAGACTTCTTGAAACGTCGATTCTTCACATCAGCTGTGTTCTTTACCGCGGGTTTTTATCTTATCTTTTAGTTTGTCCTATGTAAGAGAGACCACATTCTCAATCAAGCTTGTAAATTCCTGCATCTTGCAGAGGGACCGTGGTAAATTCTGATCATCTTCTTCGGCAGCTTGAAATATGTTTTAATGGAAGCACGCTCCAAGATGTAGCCAATTTTGTCAGTGTCACCTCTGACATATGGCTGTATAGCAGGCACACGCTCGGCTATGGCCAGCCTCACTCGTTGACTGTGACGTGAGCACGGGGCCCGAAGCTTGTTGTCATGTAAAACTAGCTTGATGTGTTGGAGCTCAGCGGCCAGATGTTTACTGTCACAGATCTCTCGTGCTCTCTGAAACTAAGATTTAGCTACGGTATCCAACTATGAAGGATGGTGGTGAGAATCACTGTAATATCATCCGTATGGGTCTTTTTTCTATACAAAGTATGCTCAAGGTGTTATCAGGATTCCAAATCACTAACACATCTAGAAATGCTAAAGAATTATTTGCCTCTAACTCCATTGTAAACTGAATTTTAGAATTTACGGAGATAGTCTTAAAATGCAGTTACTTTATCTAAAGGTAGAATCGTGAATGCCTCATCTAAGTACTGCTTGTAGATTCTTGGATTTACGGGAGAAGTATGCACAGCTTTTTCTCAAAGTCTTCCATGAATATTTCGGCGACAATGAGAGATACAGTTGAGCCCATCATCACAACATCTACTTGCTTGTAGAACTGCTCCTTCTACAATAGGTAACCAGATGTAAGGCAGTGTCTGAGTAATACTGCATATTCTACAGGTAAGTTTATTTTTCTTCCAGCCTTCTAGTAATTAAAATGCAGTTTCCAACAGGTGAGCATGTGAACAGTGTAGTACTGCCAGATGTAGGTCTTTAATCTCGCTTACAAAATTGTAGAAATCCTTTGTGTGTGCTCTTGTATGTCCCCCGAACGGTGAGAGTATTTTCGCTAAGTGTTGAAGTCATCTGTTAGTTGGTGAATCGAATTGGCTCGCTATGGGACGTAGTGGCTCATTGGCCTTGTGTATTTTCTGTGATTTGGCATTCGTAGGTATTATTGAATTTTACGTCCAGAATTCGTTCTTCGGTGTGTTTCTTTATGAAGTCACTAGTTGTTGTGTGTTATTCGTTGGGGTCGTTTTTAACCTTTTTATAAGTGCTTACCGACAAAAGTTCTTGTACTTTGAAATTATAATCGGACGTATCCATGACTACTGTGACATTTCCCTTAACTGCGCGGAGAATCTGATTTAATGTGTAGGTTATTTAATGCTATAAATTCGTCTTTAGGTAGATTTGGTTTAGGCACTGAATTTCAACGTAACATGGACGAAATGTCTTGACGTATCGCCTCCAAATTTCTATCTGCATATTTTTTTTAAATAAACAGTCCTCGACACCAGAGATAATTTCTTCATACGATAATCTTCGTAGTGTTTTTGGACGAAAGAGGACAGTAAGTGCTAAATGCTCGAAACGGCGGGAAAATAAAACCACATCTCCCGTTTGGACAAAAGTACGTCGGAAGAAGACGTCTTGCGTTTCCTGGATAAACGAAGCCGATGCCGCATAGATGATCCGACCTCCTTATATTTGCAGCGTCTGGAGTCTAATAGGTCTACGAACTTCAAATCCTACGTACTCCAGGTTCCTGCAAAATACAAAGAGACATTCCTTGCTCCCGATTTCTTGCCCTCTGAGGTAGGGTTTTGCCGATACAGGGACCTGCCAAAGAAGAAAGTTCCCCTAATAGGGTTATATTTATATTTTATATATATTTTTAGGTTAATTGCTAGGTAGGTTAAGGTTAAGGTTATTGCTATGGGCCAATGTTATTAATGTTTAAGTCCTTGATGCCTAAAATAAAGTTATTGTATTGTATTGTATAAAATAAGTGAATATGGTACGCGATAAAATCCGTAAAAACTAGTTTTATTTAAATGAATAGTGTTCACGTACGCGCATACGAGGTCACAAGTATTGTTTACATAATGATTTCATTTAAATTTACGCGAACACTACACATTGAATAAAACTATTATTTACGGATTTTATCGCGTTTAATTACTTTATTTTATTTTTATTATTATCCCGACGTTTCGGGTGCTTTACAACGCCCATGGTCACGGGGGGGGGACTGAGATGTTTGACGTCCCAATGTCATAGTTAGTCCGGCTACCTTCAGTTTTTTAATATTAATTTTTGGTCCGATTTACGCAAAACGAGCTTATAGTATCATGAAGTCTTGCAGTGGTATTCTTGGGTTTGGGTTTAATTTTGTTGATTATAGGATCCCAAGCAGATGGTAGCACCCAACCATATTCTCTATTGAAATTTGGATGTTTTTTAATTTCAATAGCCTCGCGTATCATCCTTGGTAGGAATCGGTGTTCTTTTGCGAGAATTTGTGGTTTATCAAATCTAATGTACCTAATGGTGGGGACGATCTTGAACACTTGTTCGCAGACTGCAGACTTCCCGGAGCGTCGGTGCTTCACATCAGCTATATGTTCCTTCACGCGGGTTTTTATAGATCTCTTTGTTTGACCTATGTAAGAGAGACCACATTCACAATCTAGCTTGTACACACCTGCATCTTGTAGAGGAATATTACATTTGATGGATGGTAAAAATTGACTAATCTTCTTCAGCGGCTTGTAGTATGTCTTAATGGACGCTCGCTTCAAGATGTAGCCAATCTTGTCCGTGACTCCTCCAACATATGGTAGTAGAGCAGGTGCGCGCTCGACGCCGGCAACAGTCGAGCGCGCACCCGTCCCCACCATTACATTAGATTTGATAAACCACAAATTCTCGCAAAAGAACACCGATTCCTACCAAGGATGATACGCGAGGCTATTGAAATTAAAAAACATAAGCGAATATAGTACGCGATAAAATCAGTAAAAACTAGTTTTATTTAAATGAATAGTGTTCACGTACGCGCATACGAGGTCACAAGTATTGTTTACATAATGATTTCTTAAATTTACGCGAACACTACACATTGTATTCTAAGTATTGTTTATTTATATTTTGATATTATGTTTACAGGCTTACAAGAATTTGGAATAATGTTGAAAACTTATTACAAAGCTAATCCGATGCAGAAACCAAGGAAGATTGAAAAATTAAATGAAATTGTTAGACATTTTTAATGATCTGTTGATTATTACTTGATAACAATTTTATATAGAACCTTTCTAGTAGAAATAGCCGTCTAGATGAAGGTAGCATTATCACTGTTTCAACCTCCATGGCTCTTATTAATCGAGTTGAGTACATTACTACTACATACTACATTACATCTAACCTATTTATATACCTTCTGTCTTTATATGCTATACAACAGTAATCAAAATAATTTTTTACAATATCTTTGAACCACGTTGGATGTGTGTTAGTGGGCCGCGGCTAGAGGAGATTCCTCTCCCTGAACCGCTGTAATCGAGGTGGAGTCGTCAGGGAAGAGAAGTGTTGGTATGGTGATTGGCGATGCGATGTCACTTGACTATCGTTCGCGACTTTGGTGAGGCTGCATCACTTGATGCTTCCAAGTGCTCGTTTTTTCCTGGCTCCATTTACATATCGAGCTCGGGGAGTCCGTTGTGCGGATGCAGTCGGAGGCCGTGAAGGGCAGTGTGCCTTGTGTTTACGGTGCGTCTTATTTCAGAAGAGAAACGAGGAGGGGGGAGAGTCAGCATTTAAGGAGGTGCTGCCATTGGGCGGCTGGCGCCGGAGGGGCCGCGGGTGTGCATGAAAGCGTTTCCGTGGCCCTGTCAATTTACGGCGGAGGTAGAACACCATGGGGTTTTAGTAAGTGCGAGTCTAGAGGTTTAATTCTCTCTCGAGTCTCAAGATTTTACTTGTGCTTTAACTTCGTAGTGGCCCTACTTTAGTTTATTTCTTATTTACAAATTCTGGCCATAGTTTACATTCACGGTTTTTAGCAGCTTCCTCTTGCCCAACATTCACCGACAAAGGCAATTAAGTAGCGATACGTCAAGCCCCTTAGAATACGTGGCACTGCCGTAGCTAAAAAGCTTAGGAGGATAAACTTAGGAATAAGGATATCGGCAGTAGAACCAGAGTGACCGACATAGCCTAACGGATTAGTAAGCTGAAGTGGCAAATGAACGGCCATATAGCTTGAAGAACCGATAATCGATAGGAAAAAAATATTCTCGAGTGGCAGCCTCGTACCGGC